TGTGATCCCCTTTTCCGCTAAAAAAGTAAGAATTTAAAAAAAAACAACTCTGTGGTGCCCTGCATCCTGACATGCTCTTTCTAATAAAAAAAAAATTAAACATATAGCATGAGCCTGGACCGAGAAATCTTGGACAGAAAATGAGCTATTTTTGACCCTTGTTTGGTTTATATCTCTGTCAAACGTCATAGTATCGAGCTGAAAATTTTACCACAGCCTCCTCACTTCAGCCCCAACATATGCTCCAAATTTCAGCCCATTTGAACATATCTGGACTGAGATCGATTTTTGAGAGTCAATTCAATTCTCGTTAAAATATTGTTTTCATGCTCGATAAAATATTTTCTACAGCATATATATGAATACAAGATAAATCACATTTACTTTTTAAGAATAATAACGAAGAATTAAAAAAGGAAATGAATTAAAATATATTTCTCTTGTATATGAGAATCAATCATAATTAAAATTTATTTTAGGTGGAAAATAAGTGATCATGATATTATATTCTGGTGTGGTGATATGAACTATAGAATATCTCAACCTAATGAACAAGTTCGTCAAGCAATAAATGAATTATCAACTGTTCCTTTACATGAAAAAGATCAATTACGTTGTGAAATGAAATTAAATAATATCTTCACAAATTATTATGAACCACCTATTAATTTTCTACCAACATATAAATTCGATATAAATACAGATAATTATGATACAAGTGAAAAATTACGTACACCATCATGGACTGATCGTATATTATATCGTTCAAAACGTTCAAAAGTTCTTAATGATAATCAAAATGAATTAGAAACAATCAAAACAATACATTATTCATGTGCAAAAAATATTAAATTTAGTGATCATAGACCAGTTAGTGGTTTATATTTAGTTGTAATTAAATATGAATGTGATGAAAAACGTTCAAATCGTATTCGTGAAGAATTAATACGTGAATCTGATCGTATAGAAAATGATTCAATACCAACAATTGAAGTTCATCCACGACCACCACAAATTATATTTAATCATATACGTTATTTAGATAAACCAAATTATTCTTTAACTATTAATAATATTGGTGAATGTACATGTATATGTACAATAATACCATCATCAATATCAACATCATTTCAATGTTTAACATTTACACCAAATCCACCATATACAATAAATATTAAACAAGAACAACATGTAAATATTAGTTTTGAAGCTAAAACTAATATTAAACAAATAAGTGATATACTTATTTTACATGTTGAAAATGGTGCTGATACATTTATTACATTAGATATAACATTAGATAAAGGTCCATTTGGTTTATCATTAGAAGAATATTCATGTACACTTTATGATAATGAAAATAAAAAATATATTTTTACAAATGATAATAGATCTAATTCAGAACATATTATAGAAATGATTAATGATCCACCAATAATTTATATTGCATTAATTGATTGTTTAAGAGAACGTAATGATATTGATTTACTTTATATATTTAATAATGAAATACAAGATTTACTTGATTTAATACCAATACGTAATCAAATCTATGAAAATAATTATAATTTTACAAATTATTCAACAGAAGAAATTTTTATGATACTTATACATCTTTTACAATCATTACCACAACCATTAATATCATATGAAATACAAGATAAAATATTTTTAAATACAAAAGAAAATTTATTAAGACAAGATGATGTGACAAAAGCTGTTAGTATTATAATTGAACGATTAAAAGCAAAAGAACGAAATTTATTTTTTCGTTTTCTTTTACTTTTACAAAAACATTGGCCAACAAAAGAACAAATACAAAAAGCAAACGAAGAATCTGGTGATATATTTAATATTTGTATTGATATTCTAGCGCTTTCAATTTTACACGAACATCTTGATAGAAATCAACGACATGCCTTTATTTTAGCTTGTCTTAATGAAGAAAAGAAAAATTAAAATATTTATTTATTTTTATTCTCTCCGATATCTATTTCTTGCAATGTTCTGTTCTTTTTTTTTTGTTGTATTCACTTCAACAGTATATGTATTATAGTGTTGTTTTTTTTTTTTGTCTCATTTTAATAACCTAAAAGACTTACATCGATAATTATTACAATATTAGAAAATAATTTAAGCATCTTCTACGAATTCAATCGATAGATCAAATCTAGTCTGAAATATTTTTATTGGGTTAGATTTCAATCGAAATTTTTATAGTATTCTTCTTGCATCAAACTTTAATTAACATTTAGTAGCGTTTAGTCATTAACCAAAATATTAATAAATATTGAATAATTGTTATTATTGAATTTTAGCTTGGCTGTTAGAAAGCCGAAAGGAAAAATATCGAAGATCGAGAATTATGAAACAAATAATTACAGAATAGTTTATCTTTCGGTATGTGGGTGGGTGTCACTCACACATACCCACATGACACATACGAGTTTTGGCAATCAAACGTGTCACGGTTTTGCAATAAAGAGCTGTTTGACATTTCTATATGTTATACATGTCATGAATCATTTGACAAAAACCTGACATATTGTATGTTAAATAGAAAATCTAAGATGCTATTGTGCAATGAAATAATAGAAGAGTTAGTTTTTATGCTGTGTCAATCCAGTTGATTCGAGACGAGCTGAAAGAACGAAGCTGGGTCGTCAATGAGTCATGTTTTGAGGATTTAGTTTTTTGAAAGATGAAATCAAAATGATACATGGTAGTATTTAAAGACTAAAATTACAAATTTTCTATTACATTGACTTTGCTGCAGGATTAGGAATATAGTCTTCTTGAATCTAACAATGAGTTTGTTACAAAAGAAGACAAATCTTCTGAACTAATATCTTTTGTGGATATGCGATGATCAACTTTGGCTTTTTGATGTTGCCTATTTCTTCTTGGTGAATTTCTTTGTAATAGGCGACTTTGAGATTCATGGCTTTCGTCTTGTTGTGTATGAAAGAAAGCAGGATCATATCGATTAAAACCATCGGCGTCTAAAGTAGGAGTCACTGTCGCTAAAGTCTTCTCTGAACGCATTAACCGATTTTGTCTTCACGAATACCAGCAGTCAGAAACTTGCGATCAACAATTGTCTAAACAATTCATGTGAATGATTCTCTATTACTGAAATCAATCAATACTTCTGTACCTTGTATTGGGTCAACAAATTTTTTTCGACCAAACTGTCTAATACGTCGTACATTTCATTGACTGTATATTATTATGTGTATGTTGCTTTCAGTGAGAATAATAATTGAAATAATTTTCTAGAAGGTAAAATTCTAATAATTGAAAAACTGATTGTTTTAAAAATTTGATAGAGTTCATCTAATTATACAGAAAAAATACTATTTCAAATTTTTCAAAGTCATTTTACATTGAAAGTATGTTAAAAATGCTTTTAAAAATAAGCTGCAATTCAATGAAATATTTTATTACATATAAAACTGGTTACGATCAGTTGAAGCAACAATTAAGTCCAAATTTCTACCAATTTATTCTTCAAGGCTCCTTTCAGATCATGTTTTACAAAAAAACTTCAATAGTCAATTAGTTTATTCATCTAGGATAAAAATATTTTAAAAATAGAAATAAGTGAAAAATATTTCTTGTGTTTTCCATTTCCTTAAAAATTTATGTTGGTTCCTGTATTAGAATTATAGACGAGACATTTTACTATGTATTTATGCAATAAATCTTTCGATATTGAGTATTCTATAAAGATTTAAACATCGTTCTACGAACTTTTGATCAACCCTAAGTGTTTATATTTGTTCTTGGCAATAAAGTTGATTTAAAACTTGTTTATTGTTACACAAATCAAGTCTAGGAAAGTTTTTGCATCTACGCAAAAAAATATCGGATAGTTAAAAAGTCACTTTACCGAAAAACTTGAACCTAATTTCTCTGAAGTTTCTTGGTACTCAGTGCACCAATTCATAAACACCAAGGAATAATTGAGATACCAGCAATATTGTATCTTAAAACTCGCTAAGGATTATACAGAGAATGTATTCAAACTGATAACAATATTATTTTAGACAGTGAATCTCATTTATCTAATGTTTGTAGATATCTGGAAAATGAATGTAGAAAATGTGATTTAGGAAAACATATAGTTAAATATAATGGTTTAATCAGTGCTCGAACTGGACCTGGAATTGAAGAACTGATTTCCAAAGTATTTCGTTATTGACCACAACGTGCTTTGTCTCAACTTTATTCTCTTTTTCATTTAAATAAAAATCCATGCGTGATGTTTATCTAATGTCGGCGCCAGAAGTAGATGGAGAAAACTCAAGGAGGAATATCTCCTGAACGGATGCAGCTAGCGACCTGCGATTTTCACCATTAGAAAGAAAATACACAGGGGCATCCACACATAGTAAAATATAATTGGTCAGCAATGGACCAATCAGATGCATTCTCGATGGAAATGTTGAGCACGGTATTCTGGAGCTGTTTCTCAACTTTGCTCGATTATTAATTTACGTTTTTGATAGAAAAAATTGTTCTCGTTCGATCTACGAAGAGCCCGCATTTCTAGCTTGTTCCATTCAAGAGTTATAAGAATTTTCCTGAGACCCCTGATTTCAGCCAAGTGACCTTGGATCACGTAGGAAATAGTCTGGGATGGGGTAATTCATCATGCTGAGTCGAATGGTGATATTTGTTTTTGGATCCGAAATTAGCTTACAATGCTTTTTACAGATTTTTTAAATTTCATAGGATCTACCGCTACGTATCACACAAGTCTATATTTCGGAAATATTGAGATAATACCCTAAGATGATTTCGAACCTAAAAACAAATATCACCATTCGACTCAGCATGATGAATTACCCCATCCCAGACTGTTTCCTAGGTGATCCAAGGTCACTTGGCTGAAATCAGGGTTCTCAGAAAAACTCTTATAACTCTTGAATGGAACAAGCTAGAAATGCGGGCTCTTCGTAGATCGAACGAGAACAATTTTTTCTATCAAAAACGTAAATTAACAATCGAGGAAAGTTGAGAAACAGCTCCAGAATACCGTGCTCAACATTTCCATGCAGAATGCATCTGATTGGTCCATTGCTGACCAATTATATTTTACCGTGTGTGGATGTCCCTGAGTGTTTTCTTTCTTATGGTGAAAACTGCAGGTCGCTGGCTGCATCTGTTCAGGAGATATTCCTCCGTTTTCTCCATCTACTTCTGACGTCGACATTACTTAGTAGTATAAATGCTGGAAAAACTAGTTTATTTAATAGTCTTATTGATTGTAATCTTTGTCATATGTATGCACTCGATTGTATTCAACGTGCAACTCTATCAAATCTTCCTAGTATAATATTTCTTATGGTTTTATTGTGTTATATACGTACAACAATGAATGTTCTTCGTTTTTCAATTTAATTACAAACTAGAAGAAATCAATGTATGCGCACAGAACGTTTAAAAGAATGAGAAGAAAACGAAATTATTCCTGATGATAATAATAATTCAATTGAAAATGAAACAACTATTCTTCATATGTTTTTCTTTCTCTTTCGAATGAATAAGATATTAAAGATAAAATTTTAGAAAATGTTGAATCGACAGTAAAATGATGTTGTCGATTTGAATCTGAAATGAATTTACAAAAAAAGTGGTGTGTCATATACATATTGATCTGGTAAAAATTCTTTTAATGAAGATCGTTCATTTGAATCAAGTGAACATAATTATATAAATTATCGACAAAAAAAAATGCGATCTTTTTATCCGGATTGATATAAAATTGAAAAATGGCTTTATGATACAACAGGGGTTATTTTATTTGAACAAGTAAAAATAAAAATTTTTCTTTTTATTTAATATAAATTTAGTTTTATGAAAGATAATAAATAAATGTAGTAATCAAAAAGAACTTTCATTTTTTGATCATCAATCAACTGTGAATATTCTATTAGATATTGGACAAACGATATTAATTAGTGAAATTGCAAGAATTGATGTTAAACATGTTATTTTATGAGATATTTTGTCTTTTGTTGTTGACTGATTATTACTTTTTAGATTACTAATGATGCTCGAGCGAGTCTTTCTCTTTAAACTTATTTTAAAGGGAATGTTATGTAAGAAATGGATTGGAAATTAAAAAAGAATGAATTTTAAATGAATTTGTTATTTTCAAGATATCATTAAGTGATAATTGACATTGTAAACAAATATAAAAATCTAAATAAATTAAATTACGTATTGTATCAGGTAAACAATATTGACGAATGAAATTTGCATCAATAAAAGATTTTCATATATTTTGACATCTTTTCTCGATTAATTTATCACTTTTAATATGAAGTCGAAGTTTTTCAACATAATTTAAATTGTTAAGAAGCCATTTCAAATAAAGAAATTCCAAATCATCATAAATGAAAGTTTTTAATAGAAAATATCGTAGCTTTGGTATCTACAAAAGAATTCAATCCTTTTTATGAATCAAAAGAAAAACAAATTCATTAAATTAATAACATAATTATCCTTACTTTATTAAACCAATTTGTCTTTGATTGTCTTAATGTTTCAACATTTGAATTCCATGGTACGCAGGAATCTAATGAAGAATCAAACTCAACTGATATTTTTTCGAGATTAGGTACATGTGAAACAAGATTTTTCAGAAAACAAGTTTGATTAAGTCGAATATGTAAACGACGAAGAGTTGCACAACAAGATTGATGTTGATATTGAATAGATTTGAAACATAGATAAGAATTTCGTACTAAACATCGATGAATACTACCATCTCGAAAGTCATTACTAATATCAAATCGAAGAGATCTTAATTGACATTGACTAGAGAATAGTTTATAAACAAGTTGTTTGATCATAATCATTTGTTTTTCTATTTTTTATTAAAAGAAAACAAAAGAAAAAAGTTTTTTATTATTAAAATTCAAATATATTTCTTTATAGAATTTTGGATTTTATAATATAAAACTCATATTGACAAGATGACATTATCAATTTTATTGATAAAACTATCGGATATTATAATAAAAATTATTAGATAAATTTATATCGTATCAAATAAACGAATATAACAGTTAATCGACATATCTATGAATAAATAACTACTATTAGTAATAGTTTTACATATGATGCTAATTTTTGTATCATATGACAGAGTCGTATAAAGTGATAAATCAATTTTTGAGCTGCGAGTTATCTTTTCGAACAAGATCTATTGGAACCAGCAAGCTTCAAGTTCGGCTGATTCATGTCCATATGCTGCTTCGTTTCTGAATTATGAACATTTTACTATACTTTTTCTTAATAATTTAAGATTATCAACATAAAATACTAATCGAAAACTTTCATTTTGCTTAAGTGATTCTAAATCAGTATTATAGCATACTGTAGAACTGATCTTTAATGTTTGAATGTTAGGTATGTCGCATAGTAATTCAACTATGTCTGGCAAACAAGTAGAATAAGAATCAATATCAATATCTAATTTTGTCAATTGTTCCAATAGAATAATTTGACTAAGGTTAGTAGAGTAAAAATTTTCACCATAAGAGTCGTATGAAATTTTGAGTCTAGTAGCATTGGGAAAGTAATATTTACAATTGATCAGTGCATAATCATCCAATATATGAACAAAATCAACTGAATCCATGTTCCATTTGTAACAATTTGAGTCAATATTTTTACGAATTCTTCCACTCAATTTAAAATGTTTTCTCCTCAGTAGTAAATATAAAAAAACTGAATAAATAAACTTCCTTCTGTCTGTATGAATTTATTGAATATAAGTAGTGATAATCGTCATATCTACCGCAATCGACTGCCTCTTCAAAGAAACATTGTCGTTTGATCCAAAATGAAGAATTAAATTCATCAGTCTGATACAGATAGTCGACATTATCATTATCAGGACCAAAATCATACCCTATAGAATTAGACATAGCGATGTCAAAGAGTCTTAAATAGGACAAAGAAGTTGAAATTAATTGTTTCCATAAATTTGCATCGAAATATATAAAATTTGAACTTGGTGAAAAAGACTTTTGATCATCGATTCAAGTTGATTAAAAGGACAATATTGGATATTCAGATAAACATGTGTTAAATAGATTGAAGGTGAGACTATTCTTGTGCCAGATGAGAGAGATTCACAATGAAGTGACAAACGACGAAGTTGAGGAATATACGATAAAAGAGCATCCACTTCATGGAGTTGCAATCGATGTTTGATTACAAGATATTCAATAGGACTATATTCATTTGTTGCAACAGGTAGTGACCCATGTGAAACATAATATTTACACAATAATTTACAGTATTTCGACACAGGTAAACGAAATATTTGACGATAAAGATCCATTTCATCTTGCACAATATCTATGCATGTGATATCCAATGAGAATATATAAGATGAAGAAATGAAATAAGTAAGAAGTTGTTTAAGAAGTATTGAAGTGATATTGTGAAGAGTAAGTTTTTCAAGTCAAGTGAATGCTAATGGAATATTAAGTGATGATGAAAAAATACGTTCGATAATAAGTGCATGAGCTCTCAATCGACAATAAAAGAAATTCTTTTCTATGGTGCTTAGAGTTAAACCATTTGAAATATTAACTGTCGCTGTTCTAGTTGCTGAATGCTTTTCTCAAAGTTTTGTCTAATCAAAGGCTTTGAACTTGTTTCAATACTCAAACTTCTATTTGTAGAGTAGATATTCATCAATCGTATAAATTATTTTATATAAATTATGGATGAAGTATAGGTGAGAATGCTCATGAGGCAATAATATCGACGGGAGTAGACATTAGAGGAGGGATTTGAAAATGAAATTTTCCTTAACAATGATATTATTTACGCATATGAGTGCAAACGACTCTTTTATGGGTTTAATAATATTTTGTGAAACTCCCATATATTTTTCGAAGAAATATTGTCATGTGTAAGTTATAAGTCAAGGCACGCTGGCTCCCTTCTTCCTATATAGGCTTAAGCAGCTGGAGTTAAAAAGAGATCGCTATATATGTTTGTCGCGGAAAAATATTTCGTTGAAAGTACTTTCTTGATCGTGGAGGGCATTCCATGGGTCAGAGTGAGAGCACAATAAGTTGATCTCGTCATTCTTATCAAGTCTGTATAATAGGGTTTGAACAGTTCAGTTATAGTTCCGATCTGAGGATCTGTTCAAATCAATCTCTGAGAGGGTCTGATCTGTTGCAACAGATCAGTTCTAGGAACTGATCGACCAGTTATTAGAGTATCTCAGACTACTCCTTATAATTTGTAGGGCCTACTTAGGAGTAGACCATATAAGTTTTTTAGGACTATCAAGAGATGATCCTCTATAACTTTTCAGGATCTATCCAGGAATGATCCCTAGAACTTCTCAGGACCTATCCAGAGGTGATCTCTAAAACTTTTCGAAGCCTCTCTATGNAACTGGTATTGTTTAGACGAAGATCGGCTTCTGCATTACACAATGACAATGCTTTGTTGTCGTTGTTCACTCATCGTCACACATCTGCATAGATCGTGTAATTCCAATTGTTTTTCTTGTGCTTTTAACTATGGTAAACTTTTTAAAAAAATCTTTGAATCTAAAATAAATTCGATACAGATTAAAAAGCCTATTTTTCTGGAACCAAAAAATCTTTTTTTCGATTTTAGGTTTTCCATTACGAGTACAGCCCCGAAATATCTATCCTCTGTCGAATGTCATAAAAGTAAGGTCTTTACTTGTTAGTTGACATCATAGAGCGAAACGAATGAGACAATCTTCAATCAGTTCGATTCGATTCGAATCTCAATCAGAGCAAAAATAATGCTAATTTTCTCGTACAGCTTAGTTGATATACATCTTCTGTTCTTTTCTTCATGAGATATTTATTCTACTGTTTTCCTCAATTTTTATATGCGTGGTATTTTCCTACATATTTTACGATTATTTAGTTCTGCAATACTAGCAGCATGTAAGAAAACAGATTTTATAGAATCAAATTGTTCGTAAAATTTCTACGTCGATCTTCCATACAGTAAGGCTGTACTTAATGCTTGAACAGTCGATATTTCCAACATGAGTCGATGCCGCAGAATTGGACCAGCAAGAACCAAAATATTTGAAAAAGAATAAACGATCAGAGATAATTAAACATTATTGATATAAAGAGACAGACACCCCGCTTTATTTATACATGTTTATCATTAGGAATGAATTTTTATTTCTATTATAACATTTATCAAGAGAAAAGATTCTCTGTATAGTTGTCAATAAATATGTATTGAAAAAGTGTTTAACTTGTCAAAGAATAATTGGATTATATCATTCATAGTCGTTATTTGATTACATGTTCGAAGTTAACAAATGTGTTTACAACAATTAGAGAGATTTAATTACAACTTCTAAATTGGTATTGTTTTCTTCTGCATGTGTTGTTCATTTAAGCCAATTATCACTAACGTGTAACATTATTGCATGATCGAAGGAAAAAAAGTCGAATGAGGCGGCTCAACTTGATTCGATTCGGCTCAACATGAGAAATTTTCAATTTGATTCGATTCGTCTTACTTTCTTGAAAAGTCCATTCGGCTTCGCTCTCAGGTAGGCATTATCATTAAAGCCGACTTTAAAGACTCCATAGCAGAAAAACCAATATCAGGGTGATAACAAATTTTTTCGCTAAAATGAGAAATATTAAAATGAATCCTTAATGAATAGGTTTTCATATTAGTAATCATTATAAGTGATTAAATCAACTGATGAATCTTTCTTTCATTTTATTGCTGTCTAAAAAAACTCACGTTCCTTATTTAATGTCTCAAAAACAAATGCGTCACCATAGAATGGAAACTTAAACGAAATCA